TCCGATCTCCCTGTGCTAAGGATGCAGCCTAGGTGGGCTGAGTTCTATGCCCCACCCTCTGCCTGGTTTCTATGTCCCAGACCGTGGGCTTTGTTATACCGCCCTAAACAGTCCCACTGATCGCTGCTTCCCTGTTGCAGGGGTTGAGTGGGGAGTTGGGGAAGTGTGCAGCCTCAGATCCACTGGGGTCAAGCAGGGATACAACCCAAGTGCGTTTCGGGAACATAGCAACCTCAGGTCCTTAGAGTCCGAGTTGCCTCAGCGTGCCGCCATCCCTTCAGCGGGTCGCTGCCGCTCACAGGGCGCCGGCACTGCTTCACCAGGTCACCGTCTCTGCCACCTCAGCAGGCCTCTGTTGTGTGCGCCTCCGCTGCTTTACCGGGCCCTGGAACTCCGCCACAGGCGTTGCTGGTGCTGCACTGGACCGCAGCTGCTTTAGTGTGCCACTGTCGCCTGCGCAGCTGCTGCTTCATCTGGCGCCTGGACCGCCTCCGCAGATGTTGCTGCTGGTTCACTGGGCCGCTGCTTGCATGGATGGTGCCTGACTCGTGCGTGCGCAGCAGTTTAGTTTTTCCTCGCGTTTCTCGGACCAGGGCACCTAGTTTAAAGTCAGCACCCCAGCCATAGCTAAAAAACACTGTATTTCCAAGCTGAGGGGTTTTTTTCCTCTTCTCCAGGGACAGTTTTATGAGCGATCTCAGCTTTTCTTTCCTTTCCCATGGACTCAAGGCAGCTCGCCACCATTCGCTGGTTAATCACTCACTGCAGTTGCAAGCAAGCCATGTTCCCTCCCCTCCCTCCATATCTCTCGATCCCGTCCTGCTTTTATCTTCCCCCGTTCGCACTCACGCTCTTATGAGGTTGACTTCCCAGTGTACTCTGTCTCTTTCTCTTCCCAAACTCCTGTGACTCAGTTTCCTACGACTTCAGGCTTTCTCTGTTTGAGCAGTGGGTGCAGGTGAAATGTATGGAGCTCCCTACTTCTCTGCCATCTTGCCTCCTCTCTTTTGTTTTGTTTTGTTTTATTTATTTGTTTGTTTTTGCATAGCACTTACTATCATCTGATATATCTTTTACTTAATTAATTTTCTCTCTTGCCCAACTTAAATGTTAGGTCCCTGTTGACAGAGATTTTTATCTATTTTATTCACTGTTCTATTCCAAGTACCAACAGTAAATTTGTGAAATGAATGACTAATTTTTTTTTCATTTTAATGCTTTATCAGGTGCTGCACAGTTTATGCCTGACCCCAAGTTCATGGATCATGGGCAGTCCCATCCAGAGGATGTAGATATGTACAGCACTAGAAGCTGAAATAGTCTGGATAGAGAACTACTGGATGTGTGAAGTTGAAAATAATGATGAAAAAATCATGTTAAGTGTAACTGTGATACATAGAATATAACCTAAACCAAGTTTTCCCCTTACATCTTCTAATGTAATGTACAATTTGACTAATCTCATAAGTAATTAAAGCACAAACTGTGACTTTAATTCAAACAATATTAAATGATTGACAAAGAGGCAGAAGTAGAAATATTGGGATATATTTAATGATATTTAGTGGTGTTTATAAAAAATACCCAAAACTAGAGTAAATATATAAACACTGATGAGATTAAGATCTGAACAAATATGTATGTGGGCATAAAAATATTTATACAGATACTCATATACACATTGCTTTACCTTTTTTAAATTAATGTCAGCTATATTAGAATGTTGTGTGGAAGGATGTGTTCCCCACTTTTTCATTTCCCAGAGCTGGAATAAAATATTCATATTTTATGACATTTGGGCTTGGCTTTGTCTCTTTATTTTATTAATGTTAACTCCTCTTAAATGTACAAAAACATCTCTAACTACTTAAGAAGACCATATTCTACAAGGGACCCCAGTGCTGCTTAGCAATCCTACTGGTTCAATAGGTGGTTTCCTATTCTCTTCTTTAGGAGAGGTACTATAGACCTTTAATTCTCAAGCCCCCTATACCTGCCAAAAATGACTGTCTCCTATTACATACAGGGAAAATATTAACTATTAGACATGACCATTTTCAGCTTCTTCTCGAGTACCTTCAAGACTTACCTCTTCTCAGCCATGTATCCCCCTCATCTAAGGTTAATGTTTATTTGTGTTCCTGATCTCATTCTTTCCCATAGTTTCCATGTTTTGGTTTCTCTTTTCATTCGTTTCTTTTCCTCAGTCTAAATACCTTCAGATCATCTTTGTCCAAAAACAGTAAAATTATGATGTATTTATTTTGGGAAAGAGAGAGCACACAGGCGGGGCAGAGAGAAAGGGAGAACCGGAGAGAGAATTCCACGCAGGTTTCAAACTGTCAACGCGGAACTTGGTGTAAGACTGGAACTCAAAAAATGTGAGATCATGACCTGAGCTGAAATCAAGAATCAGATGCCCAACAACTGAGCCATCCAAGTGCTCCAACAGAAACCTTTCTTTGACCCTGCCTCTTCTTCTCAAGCTGTCTTTCCTTTCTCTTTCCTATGATTGTCATACTTCATAAAAAAAACTTGTGTCACTTTCTTACTTCACTGGCCTCTATACCTATTGGAAATTTCTGGAATTATTGACCCTTGAACACTTCCTCCTTGAAACTCCTCCTTTTTCTGTTATTCCTGCTTATCGTGTCATTCTTCATCCTTCTCTTGCTCTGAATCCCATAAACGCTGTGACTCTTCAGGTTGCATTCCGAGTCATCTTTTGTCATTTTATATGTTCTCTCATTTTCACTCAACATACTTCACTGCCTTTAGCCACCATTTATATTTCCATCTCCCATATTTCTCTAGAGCCATAGATTTTTTCTAGTTATTTATTATTATATCTACCTTATATCCCATATATATCCACCAATGTGAATGTGCCTAAAACTAAATTGTCTCTGCATCTCTCTTATTTCTGTTTTTCAAATCTGCTCTACCTTCTCTGCTCTTCTTTAATCTTTGCTCCCATTCAAGTTTTCATCACCACCTTCCTGGATTGTTACAATAGCCCTCCATCTGCCCTTCATCAGTCTTGCTTTCTGTCACTTCAGAATGTGTTCTGTTTGTAGGTAGCAGTAAACCAATTAACAGTAGCTTAAATAAGAGTCTATTTAAAGTATGGAATTAAACAGTACAGGGTTAGTTCCGTAGCTTATTAGTGCCATCTAGGACCAAAACATTTTCTATTTCCACTCTGCTCTTTATATGTCGATTTGTCACCTTATAGTCACAAAATGGCTATTGTTTCTCTGGGGAGCACCTACACATTTAAAATCGGAAGAAAAATTAGTACGACATATACTAGATGATTCTGACTCTCTGTTATCAGAAAAGTAAATGCTTTCTTAGAACTCCTCTCAGAATTCTTGTCTATATCTTGACCACAACTTGTCATGTAGCCATACTTAGTTGAAGGGGTGCCTGGGTGGCTCAGTCAGTTAAACATCTGACTTCGGCTCAGGTCATGATCCCACGGTTGGTGGGTTCGAGCCCCATGTTGGGCTCTGTGCTGACAGCTAGCTCAGAGCCTGGAGCCTGTTTCAGATTCTGTGTCTCCCTCTCTCTCTGACCCTCCTCTACTCATGCTGTCTCTCTCAGAAATAAATAAAAAGCATTAAAAAAATTTTTAAAAAGATAAAGTGGCAAATCATACTTTTTTCTATGGTGAGGAAGGCAAGGAGTAAGGGATATGGAATGGGTGTTGAGTTTCAGCTAACATCTAGTGTCTGCTACCTTATTCTTCTAACTCCTCTGTCATAATATTATGACATAGTTGTCTTCCTAATAACCATTAGGATTAGTTGTCTCTCTGAAATCTTCAGGAACTCATCATTGCCTATACATTCAAATCAAGACCCCTAAGCATGACATACAAGGCCCTTCATTTATGATCCCAGTTCAACTTTAATCCTATCTTCCCTCTCCTTTCTCACCTTACTGCTAATGTATATTTTATCTATAACATATCATTTGCTTCTTGAACATGCTTTGTTTTTTTTTTTTTTCTCTGCCTATGCTGGTGTTTCCTCTTAGAATTTTTTTTTGTCTCATCCTATTCCATATTACAACTTCTATTCAAACCTAGTTCCACCGTCACCTTTCTCAATACTCCAAGGTAGGATTTAAATGTTCTCTATTCCACCTTCCTTTATAGGAATGGTGTTTATACCTGTGACAATCCATCCAATTTATTATAAAACTACAAGTAGTTTAGTATTTTTTCCCAGACAAGATGCCTCATGGGTAGGACTGACTCATCTTTGTGTAACTTTTATGCCCATGAAATACCTGGTACGTAGTAAGAAGTCACATGTTTTATGCTGATTGGAACACAGGATGCAAAAGTAATAATAATTCTATCAAAGGGCTTATACTCTACTAGAAAGGAAAGAAACATATGTATATAGTGTTATATGTAGTTGTTTTTCAAGATAAATACAACCAAAGAGCTTGAACTGCTCAAGGTGGGGAAATAGTTCACTTACTAGTTTTCATAAGTAAGCTCCTTCAAATTTGGTTTCAGCATTTCAAATGAATTTTTTGTACCTCAGATCTGTTTATAATCAAATGAATCCATATTTCATCAAATCTAAGACACATTATTTACCTTTAAGAGAAAAATGACGCAAGTTGATCATTATACTTATCCCAATTTCAGCTGTGTTACAGATGTGAAAATAAAAACATATTAAATTTAGTGAGATATGATAGGTAAAAATAAATAGCCAAACGCTAACTATAAAGTGATTTTTTTTAAGTGAGTCTTGACTTATCTGCTCTTTTGGATCGTCAGCTCAGCTACTAGTCATTAGTATATTAGTTTGGATAAAATAAGCTGACTGTATCTGCCGAATCTGTTTCAAAGTAAAAGATCTGCTCAAGAGTTTGATCACTTGCTGTATTGTACAACACTCAAAGTCAAACTGCTGTTCGACTCAGGTGACATTCAAGTGTCGTAGCACAAGTTGGGACAAGTTGAAATGAATCATCTTTCACTCTTCCTTTGCCATATCCATGAGTTCTCTGTTAAACCTGAACAGATGCCAACCCTCTTCAGAGGAAAGATCTAAAGCCCCTCGATGAATGCAGTAGTCAATAGAGCCCTGGTTCCAAATGACAACAAGAAAGTGCATGCAGTTACATTGGCTTCTGATGGCTATCTGTTTAAAAAAAATAGAAATTACTTTTACTTGAAAGCATAGTCTTCATTAACACATTTATTTTATTTAAGATCAATATGCAAGGCATTATGTCTGTACAATACTTCCAAATAATAATACAATAGTATTCCAAATAATACTTCCAGATAATAATACAATAATACAAGAGAAGTACTCTTGAACTTCTCTAAAGCTGTAAGAATAAAAAAGCCCTGTTGAGTTTTAAAAAGTCCAGAAGTAATTTGCAAAGTCTACTCATTGGTTTCTCTATAAATCCTCTTCAGTTTGTTTCTTTATTCTACAGAAAAAATTTCTAAAAGTTTCACTTGCATTTCCAAAGGAAAAAAGGATCTTGTTTTTGTACTGTGCTTTTTTAAAATTGAAGTATAATTAACATACAAGATTATATTAATTTCAGGTGTACAGTATAATGATTCAATTCTATATATTTCTCAGTGCTCATCAAGTTAAATGTATTCTTAAATCCTCTTTATTTCACACATCCCTCCCACCCACCTCCCCTCTGACAACCACCAGTTTGTTCTCTGTATTTAAGAGTGTTGTTTTGTTTGACTTTTTTCCTTTATCCATTAGTTTTCTTTCTTAAATTCTATATATGAGTGAAATTATAAAGTATTTCTCTTTCTCCGATTTATTTCACTTGGATTTATGACCTCTAGGTATATCCATGTTGTTGCAAATCATCCTTTATGGCTCAGTAATATTTCATTGTGTGTTTATGTACATGTGTATACATAATATATATACATACCACACTTTCTTATCCATTCATCTGTTGATGGACACATAAGTTGCTTCCATAGCTTGGCTATTGTAAATAATGCTACAGTAGACATAGGGGTGCATATATCTTTTTGAATTAGTATTTTTATTTTCCTTGGATAAATACTCAGAAGTGAAATTACGGTATCATATGGTAATTCTTTTTTTTTAATTTTTTGAGGAACTACATAATGTTTTCCACAGTGGCTGCACCACTTTGCATTCTCAACAACAGTCAATGAGGGTTCCTTTTTTTCTACATCCTCACCAACACTTGTTATTTCTTGTGTTTTTTATTTTAGCCATTCTGACAGGTGTAAAGTGATATGTCATTATGCTATTAATTTGCACTTCCTAGATAGTGAGTGATGTTGAGCATCTTTTCTTTTGTCTGTTGGTCATCTGTATATTTTCTTTGGGAAAATATTCAGGTCCCCTGCCCACTTTTTAAAAAATGTTTGTTTGTTTGTTTGTTTATAGCACAAGTGGGCTCAATCTCACGGACCACGAGATCATGACCTGAGCTGAAGTTGGACACTTAACCGACTGAGCTACCCAGGCACCCCTAATTAGATTTTTTTTTTTTTGGTGTTAAGTTGTATAAGTTCTTTATATTATTTTAGATATTATCCTGGTATTAGATATAGCATTTGCAAATATCTTCCCCTATTCAGTAGATACCCTTTTTGTTTTGCTAATGGTTCCCTTTCCTCTCTAAAAGGTTTTAATTTTGCTATAGTCCCAATAGTATAATTTTACACTTGTTTCCTTCCAGATGAGACATCTAAAAAAATATTTTATGGCTGATATTAAATAAATTACTGCCTATGTTTTCTTCTAGGAATTTTATGTTTTCAGGTCTCACATTAGATCTTTAATCCATTTTGAGTTTATTTTTGTGTATGATGTAAGAAAATGGTCAAGTTTCATAATTTTCATGTAGCTGTCCAGTTTTCCAACACCATTTGTTGAAGAGACTGTCTTTTTCCCGTTGCATATTCTTGCCTCCTTTGTCATATATTAATTGACCATAAAAGCATAGATTTATTTATGAACTCTGTTCAGTTCCATTGATATATGTGTCTATTTTTGTGCCAGTAAAACGCTGTTTTGATGATTCTGTAGTATATCTTCAAATCTGGGATTTCGATGCCTCCAGTTTTGTTGATTTTTGAGATTGCTTTTGGGCATTCAGGGTCTTCTGTGCTTCCATACATATTTTAAGATTATTTGTTCTACTTCTGTGAAAAATGAGTTGGTATTTTGATAAGGATTACATTAAATTTGTAGATTATTTTGGGTAGTATGGGCATTTTAACAGTACTGGTTCTTCTACTCCATGAGCATGGAATCTGTTTTCATTTGTGTCATCTTCAATTTCTTGCATCAGTGGTTTATAGTTTTTGGGAGTAGGTTGCTCACCTCCTTGGTTAAGTTTATTCCTAGCCATTTTACTCTTTGGTCCAATTGTCAATGGAGTTGTTTTCTTAATTTCTCTTTCTGATACTTCTTTCTGAGTATTATAGAAAGGCAATAAATTTCAGTATATTAATTTTTTATCCTGTGACTTTACTGAATTCATTTATCAGTTCTAGTAGGGTTTTTTTTTTTTTTTTTTTTTTTTTGATGTAGTGTCTTGGGTTTTCTCTATATATCATGTTATCTGCTAATAGTGAAAGTTTTACTTTTTCCTTACCAAGTTGGATGTCTTTTATTTCTTGTCTGGTTTCTGTGGCTATGATTTTAGTACTATGTTGAATAGCAATGGTAAGAGTGGACATTCTTGTTTCTGATCTTAGAGGAAAAGCTCTCAATTTTTCACCACTGAAGATGCTATTAACTGTGGGTTTTCCATATATTGCTTTCATTGTGTTGATGTATGTTTCCTCTAGACCTCCTTTGTGGAAAGTTTTTGTCAGGAATGAATACTTTGTCAAATGTTTTTGCTACATCTACTGAGATGATCATATGGTTTTTATCCTTTCTCTTGATAATGTGATATGTCATATTGATTTGTGAATATTGGACCACCCTTGCATCCATGGAATAAATCTCACTTGATCATAGGGAATAATCGTTTTAAAATGAATGGTTGCATTAGGTTTGCTAACATTTTGTGATGATTTTTGCATCTATGTTCATCAGAGATATTGCCCTTTAGTATTGTTTTGTAGTGTATCTGGCTTTGATATCAGGGTAATGCTGTAGAATGAGTTTGGAAGCTTTCCTTCTTTTCATTTTTCAGAATAGTTGAAGAACAAAAGGTATTAATTCCTTTTTAACTGTCTAATAGAATTAATCTGTGATGCCATCTGATCCTAGGCTTTTGTTTGTTTGGAGTTGTTTGATTGCTGATTCAATTTCATTGCTAGTAATCAGTCTGTTCAAATTTTCTATTTCTTCCTGACTCAACTTTGGAAGGTCTTATGTTTCTAAGAATTTATCTATTTCTTCTAGGTTGTCCAATTTGTTGCATATAGTTTTTCATAATATTCTCTTATAATCCTTAGTATTTCTGAGGTATTGGTTGTTATTTCTCTTTCATTTCTAATTTTATTTGTGAGTCTTCTCTCTGTTTTTTAATGAGTCTGGATAGAGGTTTATCAATTTTGTTGATCTTTTCAAAGAATTAGCTCCTGGTTTCATGTATCTGTTCTATTTCTTTCTTTTCTTTCCTTCCTTCTTTATTTTTCTTTTTCTTTCTTTCTTTTTTCTTTCCTTTCTTTTTCTTTTTAGTTTCTATTTCATTGATTTCTGCTGTAATCTTCATTATTCCCTTCCTTCTACTGGCTTTGTGCTTTGTTCTTCATGTGGCTCCTTTATGTGTAAGGTTAGGTTCTTTATTTGAGCTTTTGGTTAGTTCTTCAAGTAGACCTATATTGCTATAATCTTTCCTCTTACAGCAGCTTTTGTTGGATCTCAAAGATTTTGGTCATTGTGTTTTCATTTTCATTTGTCTCCATGTACTTTTTATCCCTTCTTAAATTTCTTAGTTGACCCACTTATTTAATACCATGTTATATATTTATTTATTTTTAATTTTTTATTTAATTTTTTTTACAAATAGTTTATTGTCAAATTAGTTTCCACATAACACCCAGTGCTCATCCCCACGAGTGCCCTCCATGTCCATCCCCCCTCCCCCCTACATCCATCAGTTCTCAGTTTTTGTCATCATTCAAGAGTCTGTCATGGTTTGCCTCTCTCCCTTTTTAGAACCCATGTATTTGTGTTCTTTCCAGATTTTTTTCTTGTGTTTGATTTCTAGTTTTCATGTCATTGTGGTTAGAAAAAGATGCATGATAGATTTTAATCTTTTTGTTTATGGAGACTTGTTTTGTGGCCTAACATGATCTGCTCTGGAGAATGTTCCATATATACTTGAAAAGAATGTGTCTTCTGCTATTTGGGGATGGAATGCTGTGAATATATCTATCATTCATCTTGTCCAATATATGATTCAAAGTCACTGTTTCCATATTGATTTTTCAATTGATTTATGTTTTTCATTAGGTTCATATATAACATGTATACAGTGTAACAGTCTATATTAAATTAATGGTTGATTAAGTTTCAGTTCATTCTAAGAAAAGTTTTTATCCTCCCCCCACATTTTATGTATAATATGTCCTACTTTACATCTTTTCATTTTGTGAATCCCTTGACAGATATTTATAGATACACTTGATCTTATTGCTTTTGTGAATCCCTTGACAGATATTTATAGATACACTGGATCTTATTGCTTTTGTGTTTTAACCTCCATATTTGTTTTATAACTGATTCATCCATGGCTTTTATTTTGTTTGTATTTAATGCAATTTTTTTTTCTTTCATAATTTCTTACTCCTGATTATCACATTTTCTTCACACTCAAAGAATTCCCTTTAGTGTTTCTTGTAACACTAGTTTAGTGGTGGTGAACTCCTTTAATTTTTGTTTGTCTGGGAAGCTCTTTATCTTTAGTTTAATACTGAAAGACAGCCTTGCTGGATTGTCATGAAATGAGTATTCTTGAATGCAGGTTTTTTTCCTTTCATCATTTTGATTATATTATGCTACGTCTTTCCGGACTGCAGTTTCTGCTGAAAAATCAGCTAATAGCTTTGTGGTGTTTCCCTTGTATGCAACTTTTCTCTTATTTTCAAATTCTCTATCACTACTTTTTTTGCCATTTTAATTATTATGTGTGTTGGTGTGGATTTCCTTGAGTTGATTTTGTTGGAGACTCTGTTCCTCCTGGTTCTGGATATGTGTTTCTTTCCCCAGATTTAGGGAAGTTTTCAACTATTATTTCTTCAAATAAATTTTCTACCCTTTTTTTCTTTTTCCTGTTCAGCTTTGTTGCTTCCCATTACTCTTGTCTTTCAGCTCACTGATCTGTTCTGCCTCCTCTAATCTATTGATTCTCTCTAGTCTATTTTTCATTTCAGTTATTAAATTATTCATCTGATTGGTTCTTTTTTTTAATCTCTTGTTGAAGGTATCCCTGAGATTTTCCACTTTTCTCAAGTCCAATATCTTTATGACTATTAGTTTGAATTCATTATCAGGAATCTTATCTCCATTTCATTTAGCTCTTTTGCTGTGGTTTTGACTTGTACTTTCATTTTGGATATATTCCTGTGTTTTATTTTGTCTAATTCTCTGTTTATATGTATTGGGAAAGTCAGTTATGTCTCCTGATCTTGAATGTAGTAGCCTTACAAAGAAGAGGTCCTGTAGTGCCCTGTACCACAATGTCCCCTCTTCAACAGAGCCAGGTGCTTCATGGATATCCTCTATGTGGTTTGTGTATGTCCTACTGTTGTGGCTAAGCTTTATTTACATTCAGTCCAGTTGGCTGCAATGGCCCACTTTGACTATCATGGGCCATGTTTGGTCCTGTGCTGTTAAGGGTCCATTCTGTGGCTACAGTGGACTTATAGTTGGGCATTGTCAGAAGTCAGATCAGATGCCTGCCCTAAGCCTGGTTTGCTGGGGCTGAAGTCATGTCAAACTGCAGAGTGCTGTCCCTGTATTGTCTTCTGAGAGGCTTATGTTGGTGGGCAGAGGCTGCAGACAAATCAGATGCCTGTCCCCAGTTTATCTCTTAGCGCTTTGGTAGCATCAACCTGCAAGGTGTTCTCCCTGCCTTGTACCCTAAGAGGCTTTTGTTGGGGGGCATGGCTGGCAGACCAGATGCCTGCCCCAAACTTCTATGGCTGCAGTGACTACAAGCTGCAGGACTCTCTGCCTATGCTGCCGGAGAGACTTTTTGTTGGTGGACAAGGTCAGTTACCAGATCAGATCCCTATCCCTAGTCCATCTTCTGGTGTTCCAGATGCACTGATCAGCAGGGCACTCTCTCTGCACTGCCAATAATAAGGTTTGGCTGCCTTGGGCTATAGTCGAGCTGATGTGTGTGGTTATCTTTCCCTCTCCCCAAGACAGGAGTAATTTCGGACTGGTGCAGGTCACTGCCAGAGCTGCTTGAATAAGACCTGGCAGGAGCTGCTTTGGAAGGACTCCTGCTGAGTGGAGCAGGTTTGGTGGAATGGATCCGGAGTAGAGTGTTGAGTGGGATGCATGGTATTCGTAAGGTAGATGCAGTGTACCCCCTGTTACCTGCAAGTATCCAGCTATCTAGGTTGGGGAGTAGGTGGTAGGAGGGGGTGTGTGGAGAGAAATGGTTCCCACCAGCTCTCTTATTCTTGGAGTAGTCTCCCAAAGATCTCTGCCCCTCTAGTACATATTCTGAGATTTATAAATAAATCTTCTGGGATACCCCAGGCACTTTTCATACTTCTGCTTCTATGCTGTATACTGGTGAGATTGTTATGCTGTCTCTTTAACGCTGGGGACTCAGTCTCCTATTTCTCTTTTTCTCTCGGTGCTAAGCCCACCGATTACTAAAGTTCCTAGAGTTAAGCCCAGCTAGTTGTAAAAGTTCAGGAAGTTAAGTCCCAAGGTTTTCATAGCCAAATGTTACAGGGGCTTGTCTCCAGTGCAGATTCCCCCATGCCTGGGCTCCCTTCTATGTGCTTGTGGTGTTCCTCTCATTTGTGTTTAGTCTCCTCAGGAATTTAGTTCCTGACCTTATCTCTGCCTGTCCCATCCTTTTCATTTGGACTTCTCTCTGAATAACTATGGAAAGTCTGTTCTGCTAGTCTTTGGGTCATTTTCTGGGTTGGTTGCACTGAAGTGGCTGTTATCTAGGTGTGTTCCTGGGCCAAAGATTGCTTAGGAGGCTCCAATTCCTCGAACTTCTAGAAGTAGTTTTAATGCTATTAGTATACTAATACCATGGACCTGTATTATGGGTAAAATTGCATTCTAATCTCCCTTTTGCTTACTTCTGCTTTATAACAGAGGTATATAAGGTGGTTGCGGATTATATAGAAATCAATTTTTTGTTACATATAATTCAAATATAATTTATATGAGTATCTGATTTGAAGATCTAGTTTAATTGAAATAAAAAGAATAAGTACATTTTGAGGTTATGTTCAGAAGGTGAGATAAATTATCTAATTTATACCTTATTAAGTAATATTTAATGAAGAAAAAGAGAGTGTATAGAATACCAATAATAAATGTAATGCATACCTGACTTAACTTTTTCAGCATTTCAGCTCCAATACCTAGACCTTTTAAATAGATAATAGAAAATGACCCATGAGGTGAAAAAATGTACTTACCACACTTATTTACTTTAATCTTTTTTTAAAATATTTTTATTTATTTCTAGGAGAGGGAGAGAGAGACAGCGTGAGCAGGGGAGTGTCAGAGAGAGAGGGAGATACAGACTCTGAAATAGGCTCCAGGGTCTGAGCTGGCAGTCAGCACAGAGTCCAACGCAGGGCTCGAACCCACAAACCGCGAGATCATGACCTAAGCGAAAGTCAGACGCTTAACCGACTAAGCCACCCAGGCGCCCCTTATTTACTTTAATCTTGAAGTAAAATTTAAAACCTGTATCTGGTAATTATATATTCTTAGTAGCTTGTGTTGAAAGTCAACTCATGAATGTTTTTTTTTTTTTTAATCTTTTTCCTAACTGTAATGTGGTTCCAACGGTAATAGAAAAGATTTTGGATTTATTTTAAAGATTGGTGAAGCAAAAATGAGTCCCTGTCACTATCATAATATACTGTATTTCCTATTCACTTTTAGACAAAACAACCCAAATTATAAAAGCATTTTTTAAGATAAAAGGATAGCTATGATAACTTAGCTTTATTCAAGCTTTGATGGGAACTAATAAAGCATTTTTTCTAATCTGTGATTGTGTTTTCACCATATGCAGGGATAACTAGGACAGTGATCAGGTTCATGAAATAGAAGTGATTACATAAACTAACTTACACACCATATTTATACTGAAACCCTATCTCCTTAAAATACGCCATTTTAATTTTTAAACTATAATATATATCAAGTGTAGCTTGACCTCGGTAAGCTTGTATGACATAAAAGTCCTCTAGGTAAAGTAACTTGCCAATCCAGCGGTCGTACGTAAAGCAGTACAAGGCAATACCAACAGTCACTTTGCCTAGAAAAGAGAAGAGAGGGTACAACTAAGTTAATGCTTTAAATCTTACAGGGTCCTTTCCTCTAAAATTGAATATCTTAGTGTTTTCTTTAACATTTAGCATTAAACTGATAAAAGCTTGCTAGACAAAATTTCAATACAAAAATATATATTGTAGGTTTAAATCCCTTATAATACAATCCTTAAAAGATAAGCAATCTTTTATTTAAATTTTTTTTTTTTACAAATAGTTTATTGTCAAGTTGGTTTCCAGATAATACCCAGTGCTCATCCCAAAAAGTGCCCTCCTCCATGCCCGTCTCCCCCCTCCCCCCACACCGATCAGTAATCAGTTTGTTCTCATCATTCAAGATCCTCTCATGGTTTGCCTCTCTCCCTCTCCCCCACCATTTCCCCCCTTCTTCTCCCCTATGATCCTCCGTTAAATACCTCCTAATCCTCCTGTACGTGCAAACATATGATATTTGTCCTTCTCTGCCAGACGTATTTCGCACAGCATAACACCCTCAAGGTCCATCCATGTTGCTACACATGGCCAGATTTCATTTTTTCTCATTGCCATGTAGTATTCCATTTTATAGATAAATCACATCTTCTTGATCCATTCTTCTGTTGATGGACACTTAGGCTCTTTCCATGTTTTGGCTATTGTTGAGAGTGCTGCTATGAACATTGGGGTACATGTGCCCCTATGCATCAGCACTTCTATAGCGCTTGGATAAATTCCTAGCAGTACTATTGCTGGGTCATAGGGGAGTTCTATTGTTAATTTTTTGAGGAACTTCCACATTATTTTCCAGAGGGGCTGCACCAGTTTACATTCCCACCAACAGAGTAGGAGGGTGCCTGTTTCTCCACATCCTCGCCAGCATCTAGAGTCCTCTGTATGCTCATTTTAGCCACTCGGACTGGCGTGAGGTGGTATCTCAGTGCGGTTTTGATTTGTATTTCTCTGATGAGGAGGGATGCTGAGCATCGTTTCATGTGTCTGTTGGCCATCTTGGTGTCCTCTTTGGAGAAGTGTCTGTTCATATCTTCTGCCCATTTCTTTACTGGGTTGTTTGTTTTTTGGGTGTGGTGTTTGGTGAGTTCCTTATAGATTTTGGATATTAACCCTTTATCTGATATGTCATTTGCAACAATCTTTTCCCATTCCGTCGGTTGCCTATTAGTTTTATGGAAATTTTTGGGAAATCGTTTATTTTTCCTCTTGATTCCCTTGCTTTTGGGGATGTGTCAGGTAAGAAATTGCTGCGGTGGAGGTCAAGGAGGTTGTCTCCTGATTTCTCCTCTAGGGTTTTGATGGTTTCCTGTCTCACGTTCAGGTCCTTTATCCATTTTGAGTTTATTTGTGTGTAGTATGTGAGAAATTGATCTAGTTTCATTCTTCTGCATGTTGCTGTCCAGTTCTCCCAGCACCATCTGTTAAAGACACTGTCTTTTTTTCCATTGGATACTCTTTCTTGCTTTGTCAAAGATTAGTTGGGTGTATACCTTTGGGTCCAATTCTGAGTTCTCAATTCTATTCCATTGGCCTATGTGTCTGTTTTTGTGCCAATACCAACCATACTATCTTGATGATGACAGTTTTGTTGTAGAGGCTAAAGTCCGCGATGGTGATGCCTCCCGTTTTGGTTTTCTTCTTCAATAATGCTTTGGCTATTCGGGGTCTTTTGTGGTTCCATACAAATTTTAGGATAGTTTGTTCTAGTTTTGAGAAGAATGCTGCTGCAATTTTGACTGGGATTGCATTGAATGTGTAGATTGCTTTGGATAGTAATGACATTTGAACTGTATTTATTCTTCCAATCCATGAGCATGGAATGTTTTTCCATTTCTTTGTGTCTTCTTCACTTTCCCTCATAAGTTTTCTATAGTTTTCATCATACAGATCTCTTGTATTCTTGGTTAAGTTACTTCCTAGGTATTTTATGGGTTTTTGTGCAATTATGAATGGGATCAGTTTCTTGATTTCTCTTTCTGTTGCTTCATTGTTAGCGTATAAAAATGAAACCAATTTCTGTACCTTGACTTAGTACCCTGCAACTTTGCTGAATTCTTGGATCAGTTCTAGTAGGCTTCTGGTGGAATCTGTCTGGTTTTCTATGTAGAGTATCATGTCGTCTGCGAAAAGTGAAAGTTTGACTTCTTCTTTGCCAATTCTGTTGCCTTTGATTTCCTTTTGTTGTGGGATGGCTGATGCTAGGACTTCCATCACTATGTTAAACAACAGTGGTGAGAGTGGACATCCCTGTCGTGTTCCTGATCTCAGGGGGAAAACTCTCAGTTTTTCCCTGTTGAGGATGATGTTAGCTGAAGGCTTCTCATAGATGGCTTTTATGATGTTTAAGTAAGTTCCTTCTATCCCGACTTTCTCTAGAGTCTTTATTAAGAAGGGATGCTGTATTTTGTCAAATGCTTTTTCTGCATCTATTGACCGGATCGTATGATTTTTACCTTTTCTTTTGTTGATGTGATGTATCACACTGATGGATTTGCGAATACTGAACGAGCCCTGTAACCCAGGAATGAATCCCACTTGATCTTGGTGGATCATTCTTTTATGTGCTGTTGAATTCGATTGCAAGTATCTTGCTGAGGATTTTTCCATCTGTATTCATCAAGGATATTGGCCTGTAGTTCTCTTTTTTTGCTGGGTCTCTGTGTATCTTGGGAATCAAAGTGATGCTGGCTTCATAAAATGAGCCTGGAAGTTTTCCTTCGATTTCTATGTTTTGGATAGGTTGAGAAGAATGGGTATTATTTCCCTTTTAAATGTCTGGTAGAATTCCCCAGGGAAGGCATCTGGCCCAGGGCTCTTATTTGTTGGGAGATTTTTGATAACTGACTCAGTTTACTCACTTGTTATGGGTCTGCTCAGGTTTCCTATCTTTTCCCATATGAATTTTGGTAGTGAGTTTGTGTTTTGGAATTTGTCCATTTCTTCTATGTTGTCCAGTTTGTTGGCATATAGTTTTTTATAGTATTCCCTGATAATTGTATTTCTGAGGAGTTGGTTGTAATAAGTCCGTTTCATTCATGATTTTGTCTATTTGAGTGCTCTCTCTTTCTTTTTGAGAAGCCTGGCTAGAGGTTTGTCAATTTTGTTTATTTTTTCAAAAAACCAGCTCTTGGTTTCATTGATCTCTTCAGCTGTTTCTTTGGTCTCTATATTGTTTATTTCTACCCTTATTTTTATTATTTCTCTTCTTCTACTAGGTTTGGTGTGCTCTTGTTGCTCTCCCTCTAGTTGCTTTAGATGTGCTGTTAGATTTTGCACTTGTGCTTTTTCTAATTTCTTGAAATAGGACTGGAGTGTAATGTACTTTCCTCTTAGGACTGCTTTCGCCACATCCCATAGAGTTTGGATTGTTGTATTCTCATTTTCATTTGTTACCATATTTTTAAAAATTTCTTCTCTGGGGCGCCTGGGTGGCTTAGTTGGTTAAGCTTCCGACTTTCGCTTAGGTCATGATCTCACGGTTCGTGGGTTCGAGCCCCACGTCGGGCTCTGTGCTGACTGCCAGCTCAGAGCCTGGAGCCTGTTTCAGAGTCTGTGGCTCCCTCTCTCTCTGACCCTCCCCTACTCATGCTGTCTCTCTCCTAGAAATAAATAAAATTTAAAAAAACATTTAAAAAAATTTCTTCTCTAACTGCCTGATTGGCCCATTTCTTCTTTAGTCGGGTGTTCTTTAGTCTCCATATTTTTGAGGACTTTCCAGAATTCTTCATGTGATTGATTTCGAGTTTCATAGCAATGTGATCTGAAAGTTTGCATGGTATGATCTCAATTCTTTTATATTATCGAGGGCTGCTTTATGTCCCCGTATGTGATCTATCTTGGAGAATGTGCCATGCCCACTTGAGAAGAATGTGAATTTCATAGCCTCAGGATATAGAGTTCTAAGTATATCTGTCAGATCCATCTGGTCCAATGTGTCATTTAATTCCATTGTGTCCTTATTGATTTTCTGTCTAGTTGATCTGTCCATTGCTGTAAGTGGAGAATTAATGTCCCCTGCTATTAGCACGTTCTTATCGATAAGAGTGTTTCTGTTTGTGATTGTTTTATGTATTTAGGTTCTTCCATATTTGGTCCCTAGACATTTATAATTGTTAGCTGTTCCTGATGGGTAGACCCTGTAATTATTATATAATGTCCTTCTTCATCCCTTATTACTATCTTTACTTTATTATTATTATTTTTTTTTACTATCTTTACTTTAAAGTCCAGTTTCTTGGATAGAAGTATAGGTACTCCAACTTTTTTTTTTTTTTAACCTCCTCTAGCATGATATATATTTCTCCATCCCCTTACTTTCAATCTGAGGGTGTACTCCTGTCTAAAATGAGTTTCTTGTAGACAGCAAATAGATGGATTTTGGTTTTTTATTCATTCTGCTACCCTCCGTCTTTTGATTGGGGCATTAAGTCCATTTACATTCAGTGTTATTATTGAATAATATGGGTTTAGAGTCATTGTGTCGTTTGTGGGATTCATGCTTGTGGTGTGTCTCTAGCATCTTGTGTTCCTTGCATCATTTCCCTCAGAGAGTCCCCTTTAGTATTTCTTGTAGAGTTGGCTTAGCGGTGACAAATTCTTTCAATTTTTGTTTATTTCAAAAACTTTTATCTCTCCTTCTATTCTAAATGACAGGCTTGCTGGATAGAGGATTCTGGCTGCATATTTTTTCTGTTCATCACATTGAAGATCTCCTGCCTTTCCTTTCTGGCCTGCCAAGTTCCAGTAGATCGGTCTGTCACCACTCTGATAGGTTTCCCTTTGTATGTGAGGGCCCTTTTCTCCCTAGCTGCTTTCAAAATTCTCTCTTTGTCCTTATATTTTACCAGTTCCACTATGATATGTCCTGCAGAAGATTGATTCAAATTACGAGTGAGGGGAGTTCTCTGTGCCTCGTGAATTTCAACGTCTACTTCCCTCCTCAGGTTGGGGAAGTTCTCTGCTATAATTTGTTCCAGGACTCCTTAAGCACCTTTCCTTCTCTCTTTCTCTTCTGGGATTCTTATGATACGGAGATTGTTCCGTTTGATTGTATCGCTCAGCTCTTGAACTCTTCTTTAATGTTCCTGGATCAGTTTATCTGTTTTTTTCTCCGTTTCTTCTTTTTCTATAATTTTGTCTTCTAAATCACTTATTCTCCTTTCTGCCTCTTCATTCCGAGCATTGGACGCCTCCAGTTTATTATGTATCTCATTTATCGCATTTTTAAATTCATAATAACTATTTTTAAGCTCCATGGTGTTTGTAGCCATAGTTTCTTTGATGTCCTCCATGCTTTTTTCAAGCCTAACTATTAATTTTATGAGTTTGTTCTAAATTCTTTTTCAGTTATGTTGCTTATATCTGTTTTGAGCCATTCCTCAGCTGTCAATTCTTCCTGGAATTTCTTCGGAGGAGAGTGCTTTTGTTTCCTCATTTTGGTTAGCTTTCTATTTCTTGTTAGTTTTAAAAGCTTGTTATGCACTCTGCACTTGAGAGCACTGCTGCACCAAAGAAGGCTGTTTGACTGTCCAGGGCCGATCCATTCAGAAAGTGTTCTTTGAATGGTATCTCTTGGTCTTTCTTGTTGAGACCTTGGTTATTTTTCTTCCTACTCGTAGTGGTACTTGTGACTCTCCACGATGTGTACTTTGGCTTGTTTCTTGAGGTAGCCCTGGAGAAGAAAACAGACAAACACACAGGGAACATTGGCACACAAACGCACATACAAATCCAATAAACACACAAACTGAAAGGGAAAATGAAAAAGAAATGAGTAAAGAGGTAGGAGGGAAGGCATATAATAAAAAATAAAAATACATAAAAAAGAAAAAAAGGAGAAAAGAAAAGGAAAAAGGAAGAAAACCAGTAGACAAAGAACAGTTTAATGCATATAACCAGATTTCCCAGCTACACATAAATAGCTGGGTGTATGCAGTGCTGATTGAAGAGCATAGAGAAAGAGAAATGACAGGGTGGGGATGAGGCGAAATTGGAAATGTAATGAGCAGGCAGAAGGAAGAAGAAGCTTTTTTTAAAGAGCAAAAGAGTGGAATATGTTTGAAGAGGCGAAAGAAATGATGATGGTGTTATCCAGAGAAACTATATAGTCTGATTACTACAGAGAGAAAGAGATGAAAAGGTAGGAAGGTGTAGAATTTACATCCAGAGAATGGATTAAATGTGACTGTTTAAGCAAGCCAGTGACCAGAAATAATCAGGGCAGTGCATCCATGTTGGTCTTGCCCCTGATCTGGTAAAAAAATAAAATAAAATAAAATAAAATAGAATAAAATAAAATAAAATAAAATAAATAAAATAAAATAAAATAAAATAAAATAAAATAAAATAAAAAAAGGAGGAGGGCAGCTCTTTAGTAGTTATGTGCATGGTTTGATCCAATGGGTCCTGTGGGAGTCCTGCCTTGGTGGCTGTGGGGAGAAGAGTGGCAGTGCTCCAGTCCCTTCTTAAACCAAGCGCTGCAACTCACTTTTTTGGCTGTGTAAACTCCCTGTGCTGGGGGCAAAGCTAAGGGGGACCATGCTCTATATCACAGACCAGGCCTCATTTCCAGATCCCAGTCCGCGCACACCACTGAAATTGCCTGAGACACAAACTCACAGGAGATCCGCTCAGGGCTGTCCCAAGCGTCTTGCCTTCCCCCTGGGGATTCAGCCAGAAGCCACTGCTCCTGTCTCCTACAGTTCGGGTTGGCGAGTGAGGAGCAGTTTCATCTGGGGCTCTCCTGGGATGAATGTGTCCCACCTAGGGTAAGCTGGAGAGCAGGAAACCGGGTCCTTCTGTGTCTCGTCGCCTGAAACACAAACTCTCGGGCAAATCTCCCAGTTTTAAGCTCTCCGCCTCCCTTCTAGGGATCCAGCCAAGCTAAAAGCACAAAGGTGCGGCCGCCACACGTCCCCTCCAGGTTGAGATGGCGTGCAGGGTGCAGTTTCCCTGGGGGTCGCCTGGGATGAGTGCGTCTTGCACAGGGTCAGCTCGAGAGCAGGAAACCGGGACCCTCTGTGTCCTGAGCGGAGGTTTCTCTGTTCCCCAGCAACAGGGACAGTGTCTTGAGCAGTTTCAGCCACTCTCTTTCCCCTCTAAACTCCCTGCAGAGGGGGATCACCCCCGTCCCTCTGTGTCTCTTGTCCCAGCCTGATTTTATCATCGCCAGTTTGCACTCACGCTAGAAGGTCTTCTCAGCAGACTCTGTCTCCTTTTCCTCCCAAACTCCTGGATTTTGTAAGGGTTCCTATGGCTTCAGGCCTTCTCCATGTGAAGTATGAGGGCGAGTGCAATGTACAGAGTTCCCTACTTCTCTGCCATCTTGCCTCCTCCTCTGTGTGTGGATCCTTTCAGATAAATTTGGTTAGAGTTTTATAAATTTTATTAATTTTTTCAAAGAACAAACTCCTGATTTCATTGATCTCTTCTATTCTCTTTTATAGTTTCTATATCATTTTTTTGTGCTCTAATCTTTATTTTTTCTCTACTTAACCTGGCTTTAAGCTTTGCTTGTTGTTTTTTTTCTAGCTCCCTTACGTGTAAAGCTAAGTGATATATGTGAGATTTTTCTTGCTTCTTGAGGTAGGCCTGTATTGCTGTCCACTGCTCTCTTAGAACCTCTTTGGCTGCATCCCAAATGTTTTTAACCACTGTGTTTTCATTTTGATTGGTTTCCATGTATATTTTTATATTTTATTTGATTTCATGGTTGGCCCATTCATTGTTTAGTAGCATGTTCTTTAACCTCTATGTATTTGTGATCTTCCCAGAAATCTTCTTGTGGTTTACTTCAAGTTTCATAGTGTTGTTGTCAGAAAAGGTTCATGGTATTACTTCAACCATTTTGTATTTATTGTGGCCTGTTTTGTGACCTAATGTGTGATCTGTTCTGGAGAATATCCCATATACACTTGAAAAGAATTTGTAATCTGTTGTTTTAGGTTATATTGTTTCAAATATACCTGTTAAGTCCATCTGATCTAGGACATTTTAAAAAGCAATTGTTTCCTTATTTATTTAATGTTTAGATGTTTTGTCCATTGATGTAAGTGCAGTGTTAAAGTCTCCTACTATTATAGTTTTATTATCCATTATTTCTTTTATGTTAGTTATTAACTGTTTTCCATGTGTGGGTCTTCTCATGTTAAGTGCATAAATAGTTCCAACTGTTATTTTCGGATTGTCGTCTTTATGATTATATAGTATCCTTATTTGTGTCTTGTTACAGTCTTTGTTTTAAAGTCCAGTTTAGGGGCACCTAGGTGGCTCAGTCGGTTGTTTGACTTTGGCTCAGGTCATGATCTCACGGTTCGTGGGTTTGAGCCCCACATTGGGCTCTGTGCTGACAGTCAGCTCAGAGTCTGGAGTCTTCTTCGGATTCTGTGTGTGTCTCTCTCTCTGACCTTCCTCTGCTCACGGTCTCTCTCTCTCTCTCTCTCAGAAATTAATAAAATATTTTAAAAAGTTAAAAAAGTTTGGAGGCAAGATGGTGGAGAAGTAGGGAGCTCTGTGCATTATGCTCACACCCATCTCTCAAACAGAGAAGCCCTGAAGCCATAAGACACTGAGCCACAGGAGTTTGGGAAGATAAAAAGACAGATTACACTGGGGAGGAAACCTCATAAGTGTGTGAATACGAACTGGAGAAGATAAAAGCTGGCCAGAACCAGAGACACGGAAGGAGTGGAGGGAGCTCCCTCGTGGGCAGCCACAGTGTGTCGAGAGGAAAAGAAAAAGCGGCTGAAATTGCTCATAGAACTATCCCTGGAGAAGAGAAAACCTTGGCTAGGAAGGAGAGTGTTTGTAGTTCTAGCTAGGGTGCTGACTTTGAACTGGGTGCCCCTGGTGCCAGGCGCCAGGAAAAACTGCTCTGTTACACTCCCGGCACCATCCCCAGAGGCGCAGAGGCAGCGGGTTAGAAATTGAATTCCCCAGGCTTGACCTCTGGCAGTGCGGAGGTGGTGGATCCTAGGCTGTGCTGCCGCTTGACCCGGGCTGATCTGAGGCTGCACCGTTCCCGACCCTCACCACCACCCCCACCCCGCTCTACCCCCAGCATCGCGGAAGCAGCAACCTGTGGGACTGTGTTTCCGGCGGTATCAATAAAGCAAGCTGACTGGGACCTGGAAATGAGGCGGAATATGGTACGTAGACCACAGCCCACCTTGGCTTCGCCCGCAGTTCAGGGAGATTGGAACTAAAAGAGTCATTTGCACCCCTTGGTTCAAGAAGGGACTGGGGCACTGCCACTTTTCTCCCCAGAACCACCGGGGGAGGGCCTCAGGGAGTTACCGGAAGGACACAGTGGAGGCGAAGACCTGCCTACACCAAATCATGCCCATCCCTGCTAGACAGCTGTTTTTTTTTTTTTTTTTTTTTTTTTTTTACTGGAGCCTGGGGCAAGACCAACATGGATGCAATGGATGCACTGCCATGATTAATTCTAGATCAATTTTTTCTATTCAGATATATTCTCCCTTGTCTCATTTGTGACCCTCCACTCTGCTGGACAGGGCACTCAGGTCACTGGTTTGCATAAACAGTCACATTTAATCCATTCTCTATATGTACATTCTACATACACATCCACTGCTATCGTTTTATCCCTCTCTTTCTGGGGTAATCAGACTATATAGTTTCTCTGAGTAACATTTTTGTTTCTTTCTCCTCAACTCTAAACATATTCTACAATTTCTCCCTCTCAGTCAAGCCTCTTAGTCTCTCTACCTGGTCATTTCATTTCCAATTTCACTTTCTCCCTTCCCTGTCATTTCTCTCTTTGTATATGCTCTTCCATCAGCACTGCATACAGCCGACTCTTTATTTGTAGTTGGGAATTCTGGTTTTAGGCTTTTTGACTGTCCTTTATCTTTCGGGTTTTTCTTTTTTCTTTTCTTCTTTATTCTTTCTTATTTATTTTTATTTTTATTATTTGTCATCCCGCCTTCCTCTTTTTTTTGTTTTGTTTTGTCTTTTTGTCCTTTCTTTTTTTTTTCTTTTTTTTTTTCCCTTTCTGTTTGTATGTCTATTGGGTTTGTCTGTGCGTTTGTGTGCCTTGTTCCCTGTGTGTTTGCCTGTCCTTTTCCTTTCCAGGGCTACCTCAAGAAACAAGGGAAAGTACACATGGTGGAGAGTCCCAAATACCACTACGAGTAAGGAAATAAAATAAGCAAACAAGAAGAGAGACGAAGAGACAATAGTAAAAGAACACCTCCTGAATGGACAGGCCATAGACAGTCAATGAGCATTCTTTAATACAGCAGCACTCACAGGTGCAGAGTGCATAACAAGCTTTTAAAACTAACAAGAGATAGAAAGCTAACCAAAATGACGAAACAGAAGAATTCTCCTCCAAAGAAATTCCAGGAAGAAATGACAGCTAGAGAACTGCTCAAAACAGATATAAGCAGAATAACTGAACAACAAGTTAGAAAAATAGTCATAAAATTAATCACTGGGCTTGAAAAAAGCATGGAAGACATCAGAGAAACTATTGCTATAAACACTATGCAGCTCAAAAATAGTTGTGATGAATTGAAAA